AACCAAAAACTGGAATGCGAACACATATGGCGAACGTGAGGCCTAGTGCGGCTGCTGCGGAGGGGATACCTGTTTTTGTCGCACTCATTATGTTAAATGGCGAAAATTGCTTCCAACACGTATTCCAATTGATGAAACCTGTGAAGGGATATGACAAAACTTTCGAAAATGTCATATGTCAGCGAGCAACAGAAAAAAACAACATTCCCCCTTGTGGCATCCGTCTTTCATGGCTTCATTTTTTTGGCAGATATGGCAATGTGTACGCATTCCAGTTTTTAGCTATAGTTCATTGGTTTGAACAGCCTACGTCAAGGCGAGAAATAACATGCTGCCGACGTCACAACTGGTAATTTGGCGCCGGTGGGGGGGAAGGGGAGGGATGTGTGCCCCACTGGCCTTATGAGGATAGGCTATCTTGTAGTAGTATCGTCTATCAACCTTGCCTTTACGGTTATCAAATTTATTTTGCCCACGGACCAATATTAAATATTAATAAATCCACAAAACGTCAAATCGCACTATAGATACAAGAATCGTACCATATTTGTGCTTTTCTTATTTTTCGTTTTAACGTAACTTATTATAGTACAAGCAGAGAAAATCAATCCAAAATCTTCTCATCAGGTAACTTATTATACGCGTGTGTAATTAAGTACATAAGTAGATGTGTCAAAATTTGTTCGATCTTTTCACGCTAGAGGCAGCAGCGTCAATCAGCGGTATTAGGTTCTTGCATTGTATATCTTGTGTATATAGATGAAAACAGCAGGGATTAAGTTGTGAAAGGGAACATTCCAATCCTTTGAAGATAAAATGTTGTATGCCATTCGGCCCCGAAGGTCTTTTTGTGCTTCGCTCAATTGAGCTTGAGCTCACCACATAAAGATCCATTTCTGGGTCTAAGGACATAAGTAAATATTTTTTTCCTTGAGCGTACCGTACATTGACCGGTTTTAAACTCTACACTGCAATATTGCATTTGTTGAAGGCGACACAAATCAAACAAAAGTGTCAATATTGGGGCTATACCTGATATTATAGAGACATGAAGTAATATTTTTGGTTCCATTAACACAAACCGGTTTTTTTTTTTTAAATGTTGGTGGTCAAAGTTATGACCTGGGACGGTAACTTTGACCACTGATCTAAAAACTGAAATAAATTAATGTTACAGCCTCACAGAGTTAGACTGACCACTAAAAACGTTTTTAAAAAAAATCTAGGGCTATAAAAACCATAAAAATCTAGTTAAGAATAAGAAAACTATAACATTTCAACTCACTTATTTATTCTTTCTCCAAAAGTCAAAGACATATTAACAAAATGTTATTATTTAACCCACTTTAACTAAAAAAACTAAAATTCTAACGGAAATCACATAATTTTTTTGTTTTTAATCAGTCATCAGTTGCATTATATCCGCTGAAATTGCATAATATCATTCATAAAGTTAATATTGCAAATAAAATAAACCTTATTCTTTGATATGAAACAGAATAGGTACATTAAAAAAAAACTTATACCTAACCTAGCTAATTTCTTGTTAATTTCACTCTATTTTTAGAGTATCGCCGAGAAGAAGTTCTTTAAAAAATAACCCCCGTTTTCTATTTGAAGAATTTTTTAGTTTCATAACTATCTGCCTCTGTTTCATATAATCGATTGACCCACCCCAAGCAGCGCTTTTACGTCGTAACAACGTCGTCATCGATGTCTTGACTTACTTGGTCAATGCATATAAACTACATGCGCGAAAAAATTCTTCTAATTATACCTGCATTATTTAAGCACCGACACTATCTAACAAAAAAATCTAAATATAATGTTTATAATGCTTTCGTTCTGCCTCACTTACGATATCTTATTCCCGTGTGGGGATCTAGTGCCCAGTGTCATATTACTGAGATTATGACATTGCAAAATACGGTTGTGAAAATTTTATTCAATTTTGACAGACTCACAAATTCAGCTATATTATATGAAGAGCTAAACATAAGTCCGATAATTAAAATATATGAATTCGAGCAGGATAAACTTATGCATAAAATATTAAAACAAAGTCAGAAGAGCAATATTAATATTATTTTATCGAATGATGTACACCACTATAATACCAGAACCAACTGTGATATTTACCAAATTGTAACTAAAACTAATATAGGTCTCAATAATCCAATAGTCCGAGCTTCCAAATCTTATAATAAGGTACCTGGAGAAATTAAAAATGTAAGAAATTTCAATACATTTGTAAAAAAGCTTAAGCAACACTTAGACATAAGGTAAACAAAAACTGAGATTATTTTCTCAAGACCAGTGCTTACAGGCACTGTTTAGAGAAATTGTATTATTGTTATTGTAATGAATGATTTAAGAAATAAACGATTTTCAAAAAAAAAAAAGGCGCGACGTCAAGTAGACGACTATTCAACTCATATTTTCACCAAAATGGAGAATCATTTCAGGGTTGTAATGACGTCGCAAGTCGCGAGGCTTTACTAATTTTTAACTTATACGTCAGCATACACAACCAGATTTGAACGTTTAATAAACGTCGTAAACCATGACTAACCTAAAAACAAATACCAAACCATATAAAGGACTTTCCAGGTTTAATATATTGCACCAAATTCGCACTTTTGGTTTATTATTGGTGTTATTTTATTTCCCAACTCATCACATTAAAAACAAAATTAATAAGTACCTATAAGAATATTGGGGGACATAAAATAATAATGGCGCCTGGCCTTGTCAACAATAAAATACGTGAAACTAAATATTTAGCTCCTGTAGGCACAAAAATTTCAAACGAAGTCAACTTTTCTGTCAAATATAATTATGATATGCACATAAAACAAACGGGCTCCTATTTTGTTAATATTTTCCAAAAAAAAAAATAAATCTGTAATTTACATAAATTCTTATATAGTTCCGATGGGACAAGAACATCTTTGGGCAAGTCCGATTTACACAAAAATAAATAATTTTGCCAAAATTTCCTTATTAAGGATTGATTTTTTAGATATTATTTTATTTTTATTAAACGTGCAGCAATGGCGGATGATTAGATAGGACCTTGTGATATATAAAATGGTCGAGTTAATAATCTGCACCTTGGCCTAACCTAATGCGTGTTTTCGTCATGAAAATGGACTTAATCTATATAAACATACGACCATAGGTAATAAAATAGTACAAACATATAAACCAAGAGTGACTATAGGTCCCATATGGTAACCTATCGTAACCAGTTCTTTAGGTGCTTCAACGTTCTCATTTATTTGAAATTTTTCAGGAAACTATAAATGTTTTATTTTCAATGTTGTTCAAAATCTTGAAATATTTTCTTTTAACCTGAAATTTATTTTTTAAAAAATTCTCCTTCTGTAATATGTGGATGCGTATTTGAAGCTCCCGTTTAGTCCCATATCATATCAAAAATACAAAAGCAAATAGGTAGGTACTTATTCAAATAAATGGTTGAAAACTTTTTATAGTAACGCCATATCTATTGTTTGTTTATGTTTTTATTTGACCGATGACAGGTTATTAACGAACGAAGCAAAAACTATGCAATGCTACACCAAAATTTACCTTTGTCCAATTTCAACGTTGGCCGGCCGTTTTTCTAAGACCTCTATCTGACCTTATGATTGGTCGTGTCAGACGACGTTTTTAAAACGTTTCAGAGGTCACAGGATATGAAGATAACGACGGATTGACGTTTTCAATGCAACGTTGAATTTGATACAATATTATGACGTCCATTTTACGATTTTTATCTTACCTTATGATTGGTCGTATTAGACGACATTTAAAAAACGTTTCAGAGGTCACAAGTATACAAGAGGACGACGGATTGACGTTATCAATTTAACGTTAAGACTGGTTTTCATTTATTACGTAAAAATTAAGCTAGATAAAGGTCCGATTTCTTGACCACATCTTAAGGGCGATGGCACGACGTAATTTTAACGAAAAATTATTGACGGACACTTATCTGCACTGTATCTGCACTTCTGGCGACGTTGTATTTGGTTAATACGTAGTCGCAGGGACATGTATGTGCTACTTGGGACAGATCCACTAGGTTTGGCCAAAAAAAATTCAACTTTCTATTTCGTAGAAATGAAACTTCAACTTCCGAATCATTTGAAATGACCGGTGGTAAAAGTTAGGAACACAAAAAAAAATAGGTCCGAAAATTTTGAAAAAATTCCCTGAACTCTAAATAAAGTGTTAACGCCAAATCTAACACATGTATTTGCGAACATACATAACAGGATACTCACCGTGAGTAATGATGACTCCTGATTATATTTTGTTTGCTCTCCACGAAGGATAGTTTGCAAGTGACAATTTTTAACGAACTTTTGGTCCAAACGGTCAAAGTTTATTTTGCATCTGATTTCTAACTGAACTTGCATGGCAGCATGCCGCAACACAGTGCCAGTTATTAGACATTAGACTAAATATTTGTAGGTAGAAATCGCCAGCAATATACATTTACAGTTTTTTAAGGTGCATTATATCAGTTCATGATCTTTTGGTCAATGTTAGGGGAACAGTCGAAGTTAGGGGACTTAACGGTAATTCAAGATAATACCTACATATTATTATTTTCACTTAATTGAAGATTTCACTTCTGTCGTGTGGTCTTGAACACACACCATTATTTTTTTTTATTTTTTTTACTGTGAGAAGATCTTCGCCCCTAAACAACCCAAAAGAGAGTTTATTTAAGTTATTTCAAGCGTTAAAAGTTGCAATTCATGGATATTTAGCCCAACATAAAATATTCTCTTTATGGCATGCTTTAACTTCTAGAATGTTCGCCCTGTCAAGCTCTAGATGATAATATGCATATGCATTGCGATTGGGAAGCATTCAATCTAAATTGTATGTACTAAATTATCTCAGGCCCAGAATTATAGGAAAAAATATGCGCTTTTCTGGATAATAATAAATAAACATCGATGCATTATTAGACATATATAAACGTTTATTATAGGTATTCCTGATTAGCTTTACAATTACCTTATCTCTAAATATAGAAACATATATTTTATTTGTTTTAAATATAATGCCAGCCTTCAAAACTTGATTTTTAAAACAAATCAGTCCAAATGTCAGAAGTTCATCGTTAATGCCTAATTAATATATAACAAAAAAAATAAAATAAAAATGACTAGAAGAAACAGGTAGGTACCTACTATAATGACACCAATAATTTTCACTTATTACTAATTTTTCTGCTAAAAGCGTAATATAAGCGTAATAAGCACATTAAATTTATTGAAATTTAGGTTATAAACACAGATGATTCTTGCCTTAGTCTTATATCAGCTGTGGTTCTGGTTTGTGAACTCCTCGAAATATATTTAACGCTGTAGCTGCTACCAGTACGATGTATGAATGCTTTCTCTTTCGAGCAGCAAAGTGCTACTTTAAAACTCTCGCGAAATGTTTTGGACATAAATCCATAGATTATTGGATTTATGCAGCTGAAAAATATTGCAGAATAATAAAATTAGATATAAGTATAGATACATAGTTCCGTACATGTCAAAATCAAAATGTTGTGAAGATGAATTTGAAGCTGTGATTGATGTAGCTGATGATTCCGATTTGGAGAATATTGAAAAATAATATCTAAGTAATTAACCATGTAACTAGAATGTGGGCTGAATACAAAAACCTTTTGCGCGATTAACGCTGCCTTTTTACTTACATAGGTAGCTACTTTAAAAATGATTAAAAAGCGAAAATGAAATGAAAGTGAAACTAATAATAGTATTTAGTGAATTGTGGTTAATGTAGTACCTACCGGGCATAAAAGCCTTCATTCCTTAATTTAAAAAGTATTTACTGAAGTAGTTACGCGAACGTTATCGAAAGGTGATTAAAAAAGCTGCGGCGTGCCTTTCCGCAGTTCTATATGAACAGCTGGAATGTGCCATCAGATCTTCCCAAACCAAAAAACAACAAACATCTACGAGTCATTATATACCTATTCAATTTTTTTGGAATCTTCACAATCGAGTTTTCAGTTTCACTGGTACCACATATTGTATAAGATGGTATACAGACCTACCACTCAAGAACTCAATCCCTTACGATCCAAAGATGGCACAAGACTGTTTGAGGAAAAGTCGTCCATTAATTCTCGTTGGAAGGAACACTTTCAGGAACAGACAATCATTGAAATTGATAATGACATCTTCAACGGAACTCCACACACGCCAATACAACAAGAACCGAGCGAGGTTCCCAGATTATAGGAGGTTGGAGAGGCAACCAGACAACTGAAGAACAATAAGTCAGCTGGTACCTACTGAAGGCATTTCTGCTGAACTAAATATTTTAACAAGAAAGCCCCACACTAAGTGTTCAAACCTACATCCTAATATAAAATATGGATTACTGAGACCATACCGGCCGAACTTAGAGATGCCTCAATAGTTGCCATTTCCAAAAAGGGAGACAAGGTTCAATGTGGAAACTACAGAGGAATATATTTACTTTCTGTTGCGAGAAAGATACTTGCTAGGATACTATCAAATCGTCTAGTCCCAACTGCCGAACAGAACCTCCCAGAGACCAGTGTGTCTTTAGACCCAACCGAAGTACAGCTGACATGGGGGCGGATTACGAACTCTCGATTCGAACCGAAACCGCCATGGATTTCGAACGCATTCTCATGCATTCGCATGGAGTGCGTTCGAAATCCATGGCGGTTTCGGTTCGAATCGAGAGTTCGTAATCCGCCCCATGATTTTCAGTGCAAGACAAATGCAAGAGAAATCCAGAAAACGAAGTCGCCTTCTATACATGGCCTTCATAGCACTAGGCAAACAAATTCATAATTGGAGGTTCCTATACACAAGCTGTCAAAAGTAGCCAATAGTTCATAGCTTTACCAATGATTATTGAAACTTGTTTAATACTTTAATTTATTTTAGACAAACTTTTGAGATTATCCTTCACTTGTCAAAGTCTAAGGAAATAAATTATTTGTAATTATATTTGTAGATTTAGTGAAATAGGATTTTTTGGTTCGGTCAACAGATAAGCTCCTCAAAAGATATTGGCAAAGGCTGGGTGTCCGCAAAAGTACATCCAGATACTCTGCCTGCTTCATGATAATATGAATGCAACCGCCCTAGCAACGATGAACAAGGAGAGTCTTTTGCAATAACTACAGGCATTAAACAGGGCTGTGTTATTGCACCGACTCTCTATTTATAGGATCGATACTTCACCTTGTCGAGAATCACCTGCCGTCAGTAATGGAAATCCTGTACAGACTTGATGGCGGCTCATTTAACGTAGACAGATTATGAGCCAAGACGAAAATATCGACGACGTCGATAATTGAATTCCAATATGCGGATGATAACGACGTGATGCCCACTACAAAGGAAGATCTTCAGTCATCAATGAATCCAACCGGGCATAAAGGAGAATCGGCCTAGAGGACAACCTCAACAAGACGCAGATTTTGCACCAACCCGCACCGGATACAAATCCCCAAGCGCCAAACATAACTATAAATGACCATTGTTCGCAGAACGTAGAACACTACCCCTATGTCTTGGGAGCCATCTGTCGGCGAATGCAAGCATTGACGCTGAAATCCAAGATCGCTTGAAGTGTACTTGCGCGAGGCTCGGGCGCCTTCTAGAGAGAGTCTTCAACATTCAGAACATCAGCGCTGAGACCAAACTTCGCGTCCCCAATCCAGTTGTAATACCAACACTTACATATGACTGTGAAACATGGATCACCTACAGATGACAAATTTTTTAAGAACAGCGACGCAGACACGAGACCGAAAAGAGGAACCGCAGGAAGGACGGAAGGAGAGAGAGAACAGAGGAAGAGAAAATGCTGCCAGAGGCTAGGTCAAGACTATTGAAGAGTGTGCGGATCCAGATGGTTTATATAGTCATCAGAAAACGCACAATCGAGAGTAACAGATTAAGGCCAGTTAAATTACTCCTCATTTTGCAGGAGTTCAATCCGTAATTTGATAACCTACATATAATTTGATATCGCCGGTGCATCATACATGTGGGTTTGAATACAAGAGTCAAACTATGTGTAATTTGATATAATAAATATGCACTTTGATGTACCAACACAACGACACCTACGTGAGCGATATACCTACGTCATCGAAGATACAATTGCACCTGGAACATAAATCTTTTTCTTTGTTATATACTGGAAAACAGTATTTAGTCAAGAAAATGCAAATTTTAAATAGAAATTATGCGTTATGGAAAGACAATTTTTGTGATATTGTTAGATAATGGCAAACGAACACTATTAACTAGTTATCTACCAAAACGTTGTGTCGAATATCTTAATAAACAAAGTATTGAAAATTTCAATAATCCTGAAAATAAATATACAATAACCTATTTGGGTCAAAGCCTAAGTGACGCTGTTGGGGTTAAGACGCGATTTCTTCTAAGTATCGATGTGGTAGAATAATTTTTTCAATTCATAGAGAATACCCATATTTTTTTTTTTAAATTCACATGCCGATATGCTACATGAATATCAGAATTTACTAACGCAATAATTATTCCTGTTTTAGAAATACCTACTACCAACCAAAATACAATATGAACGTTAGCAATCAAAATCAGATTTCCTACATCTCGAGCTTGGTGTTCGAATTAAGGTGTATGGAAGAAGATATTTTGGCATATTTCGATCGAACATCAGCTGGAGTAAATGGCAAAAGTTGTGTAAAATATCTCAAAAATGCCGTCAATTTTTCCATGGGTGCATTTTTTCGGGATAAAAAGTAGCCTATAACACTCCCCTTTATATAGAGACTACGTGGTTTAAATTTCAAGGAGATCGAATCGAAACCTTCCTGGGGATGGCCACAACAACCTACCAAAGTTCCATCGTAATCGAATAAGTGGTGTAGGAGCGCATGAGGTACAAACAAAAAAACAACCATTGATTTAAAACTAAAAATATGTCTTCGAATGATTTGTATCACTATTAGCTCCAATTAAGGTTGTTTTATTGTTGAACGTGAGCTTTAACACATGATGTAATGCGTTGGATATATTTTGATCAAAAATTAATAAAATATTGTGGAAAATATCGTTGGAAAACTCAATTTACCCCGATTTAGAAAGTTTCTGTTGATCTTTCAAGAAAAAAAAGGCACAAGGAAACACTTGGTACAAATTTAGAACATTTTCTGGTTTTGAATGCAAACTTGAATCCAATATTTGTCTACGTTTGGCTCCAATTTTTTTTTTTTTTCTTGGCTATACGCACACTTTGGGAAATACTTTGGACAGATGTTGGGTGGTACATTAAAAATAACTCAAAATTGCAGAAAATGTCGCTGAAATGCAATTTTCCACATATTATGGATCTCTAAATATTTCAATATAGAAAGTCAAAAGGAAGCTTTGATTCTGTTGATACTTCAATATGGGAAAAATAACAAGGAAATACGTTTTGAACCAATCAATGGTATGACTATTTTTTACTAACTTAGGTTGTTTTAGTGTGGATAACACAATTCAACAAATTCAGGATTACGTTGGATAGATTTTGATTACAAAGAAAGTGGCAAATCGCGGATAATATCGCTGAAATGCAACCTTACACCTATTCAAGAAAGTTGAAAATGATTTTCAGCAAATTGATTCGTTGAAAATAATTTTAAAGCACTTCGTCTTAAACCAACTTAATTCAACTTAAAAACATTTATTACGCGTGAGGTTCTTTTTACAATATTCTACTTATTACTAAAAAAACAATATAATAACTAATAGCTATTTTTACAAAACATTATATATCAAACAATCTTAGCTAGATTTATTTCTCTCTACTTCGGAATTTTTATACAGACAATAGTTTGCAGCTATCTCTTTGGGAATGTGTGGAATTTTGCGAACAAAATCCTTCAGATCCTCGGCAAGCATTTCGTCAACGAATATGTCCAATTCAATAGCTCCATATAAAAACTTTTCGCAAATATAAGCACCCATGGAAAAGTTGAGAACATTTCTGAGATATTTTACATAGGTAACTTTCGCCATTTACTCCAGCTAATGTTTGATCGAAATATGCCAAAATATCTTTTTCCATACGCCTTAATTCGATCACCAAGCTCGTGATGTAGGAAATCTGATTTTGATTGCTAACGTTCATATTGTATTTTGGTTGGTAGTAGGTATTTCTGAAACAGTGAATTCTGATATTCATATGTAGCATATCAACACGTGAATTTAAAAACCTATTCTACCACATCGATTCTCAAAAGAGATCGCATTTTAACTCTAACAGCGTCACTCTGGCTCTGACCCAAATCGGTTATTGTATATTTATTTTCAGGATTATCGAAGTTTTTAATATTTTGTTCAGTAAGATATTCGACACAACGTTGTTCTATTGTCATTATCTAACGATGTCACAAAAATTGCCTTTCCATAACGATTATTTAAAATTTGCATTTTCTTAACTAAATAGGTACTATATGTTCCAATATCTAACAAAGAAAAAGATTTATGTTCTACCTGCATGATGAACAAATTATTGACTTTTCCAATTGTATCTTTGGAAAGAGACATTGTTTTATAAAAATACAAAAATTAGAAAAATAGGTACCTTGTTTATAAAAAAAACTGACATAGGAATTTAACAACATACAAATATCAGAATACTTGACACAACTTCTTCAATCATTAGAATACATTGATTATGTTCCGCATTTTCACGATTACCTAATTCAACTAATAAACCCAATATATGTATGGATGGAGGTACAGTTTTCAAAGCGCATCTTTGATGATGTTTGGTATCTGGCCCATGTGTGGTGACGTGTGTGTGATGCTTTTGATACATCTACACGTGTGTGTAGGTATATGAAATTGCATTTTTTAGAGTATCAAATTACGGGTTGACCACCTGCGAAATGAGAAGTAATTCAACTGGCCTTAATCAGTTACTATCGAGGACAATGAGAATATAATTGAAGATAAGCACTTTGTATCCATAACTCGATGATGATGATGACCCGCATTTATTTTTTCGATAAGTATTGATCCTGATGATGATGAAAATGATGATTCTGATGATCATACAATGATAACCCTGATACTGACAATGACGATGAGTGGACCACATAATATTCTAACAGGTAGGTTACCTGCTAAAGTACGACATCAAATGGAATGCACTCAACGTATATTTAGATATTCCAGTTCTTTGATGGTCTAGTACGTTATAGGCTGTCAAAATATTGTCAATTAAAATTGGCGTCCAACATACAGCAAAAAGTAGAACAACTGTAACTAACATGTAGATCACTTGCTTCACAGTTGTTGTATCATCACGACAATTTTTAACCTCAGATCGAATTTTCTTGGTTCTGACTTGTCGAGGTTGATTTATGTAGCTAGAGCAGCTGGCGAGTTTTTGTTCTAAACTAAAATACACATATAAATATAAATAAATAATAATAAATAAAAATATAATAAAATAAATTTTTTGTAGGTCCGATGATGACACGGATAGTGACGGAACGTCATCATCAGCATAATTAAGTGAAGGAATCTGTGAAATTTCTAACTCTTGAACGTGGAATTAGAGCTCTATTCCTTAGTCTATTCTGAAAGCGGCTTTTATAGACACATCCTACATTAAATAAATAGGTACAGCGTGTTTCTATCCAATCGCTTATTCAAGAAAAATATAATATGCCACATTTGAAACGGTTACTTTTTTTTGTAGATCGACAACGAACACTCGAAAAAACTAAACTATGCAGCTTATCAAAATTTTCAAAGTCGACAAACAAATTTTTAGAATGGTTAGGCCCGTCTTATTAGGACTAAATTTTTTTCTTCTTATAGGTACCTACTACTTACAATTGATCGTTGCACATAACTCTTCTATGTTCCATGACTTTCCACACCTCCCAACAAATAAACGTATACGAGTAAGTCATTATACTAAAAGGTATCACTAGAATCAAGAGAAGCAAATAAAGCTCGTGAAACTTCCAAAGCGCTTCATTTGATGCATTTCTCAAACACCAATAAAATTTTTCTTCGTAGTGCGGGCCTACTCTTTCTAAATGCTGGAAGTGAAAATGAAAAGTACGAGTTCAGCAAACAATATATTTATCGCTCTTACCCATAATACCAATGTCGGAACAGCTAACAAAATTGAAATTACCCATATAACTATAATAATGGATTTAGCTTGTCTGAGAGTACAAATATATTTGGATCTCACTGGATGTACTATAGCGTAATATCTACAAGTTAATATAATAATTAATACAGGCTTATTCTAATGATTAAGGAATACCTTTCAATGCTGATGGCGGTCAAGGTGAGCACAGAACAAATCGTAGACAAATTCTGCATGTAGTGAATACTTCTACATAAAAATAGGCCCATGGTCCAGGTGTAGGAGAATAACTTCGCGACCTAAAAAAAGGATTACACCCGTTTCTCCAATAGAACAGTTTAAAAAGTACTTTTTATTTAAAAAAATGAGTAGGTATAATAATTCCACCCTGAGCCAAAAAATTATTGTGATAAAAACAAATCTCGTCCATATTAGCAACATTTAACTTTCTGTATTAAATTTGTAGTTTCTCGCTTTTTCCAACAATGCAAAATATGATATGAAAGGCATATGAAAAAATTGGTTTTAGGGGACGAATTTCTGAAGTAGAGGACTCAACATATTTTTTTGAACTGTCTTAGCTTTCCAATAAAATGCATCTAATTGGCAGGTACACTGTATGTATACGAATACTAACTAAGAACGTTTACGTTACGTTAAGGTATTCCTAATTAAATAAATATTTAAATCTTACCTTTACTGGAATGCAGAAAATTATCAACAGCAAATCAGATGATGCAAGACTGGATAAAAATATATTAGTGACGCTATGCATTCTTCTGTATCGGAACGTTGTAAATATGATAAGACCGTTTCCTGTTAACCCAAGTATAAAGCTGAATCCGTAAACAATCAGCGTCGGAATTAGTTCAGCCCAATAGAAAATTGAATTATTAGTATCGATTTCGTCTGTATCGATTTTTTCTGTTGTGCCATTATAATGTACTTCCGTTGGCTCCATTTTTTCAGTGCTGTCTTTAATCTTTTTATTTGGTATGGCTTTACTGCTTTTTTATTAGGCGTTTATTTATTGAACGTCCACCAAACAAGAATTCTATTGATTAAATTATTGAAGTTGCATAAGTTTCCTAAGCACATCTAAAACAAAATAACAGTGAACTAATTATCACTTGAAAAATTTAAACTCTACTTATGCTCAACACCATATCTCAAAAGGATTAAATTGGGAGACTATAGCTTTATTCAAACACATCAAGAAACCGTACAATGTACCGTCACGATTCTGCGCAAAGCCAAAAATTTGTACGCAGAACCCGAAATTCGTAAACAGAGTGGTTTCGAAACCGTTCATAGAACGGTTTTTGACGTGTTGGAACAAATCTTATAGGTATAATTATTTAAGACGAATTTTTAGTATGCCGGGTGTCCCTACGAAAACTGTCAATGGCTTATATCTTTAAAACGATCATCGATAAAAAAAAAAGAAGAACCCGTTTGGAAGGTTAGAAGGGGGAACCAAAACAGGTACTTTTCAGCTTTCCCAGATCCACCCTTCCGGCAATAGCCACCCTAACCGCAAAATCTTAAATAGCGCTATAGGTCATGTGATATCTTAATTTCCTTCAACTCGGGAAACTCGATTTCGAACTGTGATTACCGTAACAATTTTTCAACGTTATTTTCACTACAAAATCTTGCATTTTCTCGATTGCCTGACAAAAATAAAATATGGGAAGTTGGATTTTGGAGAGAGTCTTCAACAATCCCGACCAGTGGCGTAGCCAGCCTTACGGGGCGGAGGGGGCAAACATATAAGGGCGCATAATCCCAACAAACACATTTCTTACGGCCCAGCATCGTACGAATGCCGCTTTGCCGGAAAACAGGCATCTGCCCAACTAAATGAAAAAGGTACTGGTCCGGATCGTATATGACCGCCCGGCCGACAGTCGAGCCGCAAGTCGGCCGACAGTATGAACCAGCGTTGGGCCGATTCAACGTCTGAATCATTACATTGAGCCAACGCTGGGTATACTTCCTCAAATTTTATGGTCCTTTACAGTATATTTGATGGATTTTTATCACAGGACCATAACTTTATACATGGTTGTAATATTATATACCGGAATGCTAGTAAATAATCCCAAAAATCGAATTTTACTTTTTCTGCAACTTGGTATGACACAACAATTTTTTTCTGCTGTTTGTTTTTCTTGGTAGTAGGAATCGAAGCCTTTCTGGAGGACTAAAATTTCAAACAAATTAAGGTTTTATCGAAATAATCATAGATATATTATATAAGTTACATTCCTCATAAATCTTTGAAAATAAAAATGCATTTTTATAAAAATATCTACAATAGTTAATATTTAGGTAATACAATGTAATATTATAGGAAAAAAGTCAACATTTCATTAGCGTATAGAAATAAATAAATAACTTCTTTGGAGGAAATACCAAATACAAATAAACTTGAATTCTAACATAAACTTAGAAAATAGAAAAAAAATCCATCATTTCCATCTGAAAAGAAGAATAACAACATTTTTTAATGTAACATGCGTTATTTTAGTTACAAGTACCTATACTCACCAAGTTGTCTTCGTTGCCGGAAAGTTTTGTCTTATATCTATTTAACAATTGACTTTTCGCGCGGTAACACAACACAATAACTTATTTCCACAATTATTGAGAAATTACCCAAAGCACAAGACCAAGAACAAAATCTAAATACAAAAACGAAGCCACAAACATACGTCGCCAACGAGGTAATGGCCGTCAATGCCGTTCAGGTTCAACAATGCACAAAACACACATGAAGAACGGGTGCGCGGTGCGCCTGCTCGAAATTTTCAAAGAGGCTGGGAAACATATATTGGCAAACTGCCGGTCCAGTGATATAGTACCAGTTGTATAATTTGAAATCATAAATAGAAAAGCCCCGACGCTATGCCAGCGTTCAAATGCCAACAGTCGGAATTCAATGATCGAAAACACAAGGGGCCAACTGCATTTTGCCGATGCCGCCACTTACCCATCGTTCAAGGCATTTGGCCGATTGTTTACCGTCAGTTCGTGTTTGCTGGGATTCTTTATTTTTTTGGGGGGGGGGGGGGGGGGGGCGGAAGGGTACAACAAATGAATGTTTGTATGCTTTTGTAATATGTGCTTATTGGGGGAAAATATTAAAGACGAAAAGCCTGACAGAGGCGAAAAATTTCCTCGAGTGCCACGCCCAAAAAAGTTTATTTTAAGCCTTCAAAAACATTTTTTTTTTCGGGTGCCACGGTGCCAGGCCGAAAAGCATTTATGTATTTTAAGCCTTACTAGGAATAATGTGTGGACATGCCGTTAACTTCAAAAAATCCTTCCGGACGCCTTGAAAACTAGAACAAATCCGGGGAAATCTGGACGGATGACAGCCCCACCCAACCCAACCCAGCAACCCATAGTTTAGGCGGTTACACACGGACGTGGATGTCTGAAAACATGTACGCACATACATGAACGCGCAAACAAAAACATCAATGTGTATCCAAAACACTGTCGCGTTTTTGATTGTACAAGTGGTAGGAATTTTGTATGCACACTCGGATTACTGTAGCAAGAATAGGCGGTTACACACGGACGTGGATGTCTGAAAACATGTACGCACATACATGAACGTGCAAACAAACACATCAATGTGTATGCAAAATACCGTCGCGTTTTTGAATGTGCATTTTGTATGCACACTCGGAACACTGTAGCAAGAATAGCAAGACTGCAGTTTTGTGCGAGCGTCTGTACAAAAGCGCCATGCACGTTGTTGTTTGCACGTTGATGTATGCACGTATATGTATTAAGACATCCACGTCCGTGTGTAACCGCCCAATAGCAAGACTGCAGTTTTGTGCGAGCGTCTGTACAAACGGGACATGCATGTTGTTGTTTGCACAATGATGTATGCACGTATATGTATCAAGACATCCACGTCCGTGTGTAACCGCCTTTTAATAAACAAATATTACATCAATCATCAAAACAGAAACTATCACTTTTCCTTTGATTGAACTGAACCATTTGCCGACAATGCTGACTTACGATAAAGAATAAAAGGTGAAGATGAGGTCGATAAAATAAATAAGAAACAGCAACATTTTATTTCTTATATTTTGGGCCGTCGCCACCCCTGCCCCCCTACTGGCTACGCCACTGATCCCGACATCAGCGCTGAGACAAAACTTGGCGTCTACAATGCATTTGTAATACCAACACTTACATATGGCTGCGAAACATAGACCACCTACAAACAGAAGACACATAAATAGCCTAGAAAAATACCACCAGCGACGTCTAAGAAGGATCCTACGGATTAAATGGCAAGACCAGTAGTGTTTTAGAGGAGGCGAAAACAACTAGCAAGAAAGCCCTCATCATCAACCACCAACTTCACTGCACAGGTCACTTCGTCCGCACTCCCGAAACACTTGTTTCACGACAGATTCTCTACAGTCAACTGAAAGAGGGAAAACGAAAGAAAGGAGGTCAACAAAAACGCTACAAAGATGTTCCTGAGGAAAATATGGCAAAGAGCCGCATCGATACCAGCAACTAGGAGACGAGGGCAAATGATAGTCCCTCAGGGCGTCGACTAGTCCACGAAGGACCAAAAAGTTTTGAAGAACAGCGACGCAGACACAAGATTGGAAAGAGGGCCCGCAGAAGCGAGAAAGCAGAGGAAGAGACTGGGTGTGTGGGTGTGCCAAGACTGTGGAAGAGTGTGCGGCTGCAGAATTGGTTTATATAGCCATAAGAAAACGCATAATCGAATACAATAGGAATAGAATAGGAGATAATCATACTCGGTATTCAGTGATCGCCTATGATGATGATAAGTCAACTTCTACATGGAACAATCTGAACAGTAGGCTCTAGAATCTGTCGCAATAATTCCTTCCGTTGGTTTTGATATGTGGACGACACCTTTGTTGCTTTTGGGGACTTCCGGCCGACTGTGTAGTCCGTTGGCCTGGCCTGACTAAATTTAAGATCTGCATGAAATTTGGCCCGCACAAACCAACAGGCGTGCGTGTGTAAGCGTTCAGTTCATTTCGTCAGTTTAATTGGTCAGTGCAGAAAGCAAATAAACAAAATGTCGATTCCAAGTAAACAATTCTTATGCGAATTTATGGAACTTTGCAAAAGCCGAGACAAAAGCTTTCCATGTTTATGGAAAATAAAAGGATAAGAAAGTGATCGAAACAAAAAATCTATTGTCTATGAAGTAGGTATCAATACAAAACGTAGAGGAAATCGATTTGGATACAAATAGAGAAACAGTAGTTGAAAAAATTTATAATTTAAGAAGTTTTTTCAGAAAAGAATACAAGACAATGTTTTTGAAAATTGCAACATAGACGTGACATCGAATCTGCTGCTTTTCTCTTTAATACTATTCGACGTCTTGTTATCTAACGGCACTTTTTAGATATTTAAAGCTATATGTTTAACTAATTTTGCCGTCATGCCAGGGGTCACATAACATGCAGCAAAGCCACTCTTATGTTATTGGGTATGCTGAATGGATCCTACATAACAATGTAATATTGCTGGTAAGTTCATGTTTCACAATAGTTCTATAAGTGATTTACATTTTACTGCATACCCTTTAATAAATGTTCGAAAATATCCTGCCAATCTCAAAAATTGTCTTACATCTTTGACATTTTGAGGAAGTGGAACTTCTTGACACTATTACTATTTCTTTTTCTATATGTCTTATTTTTCCCTAAGATGTCTCGTACTCTAGGAAATCAATAATTATTATCTCTTCCAAAATTTATATAAGTTTCAGTTTGTTATCAATAAATAATTGAGGTAGTAGGTAAGCATTTTGAGAGTATTTTTGAATGCTTTCTTGTTTATTGTGAAATTCATCTGTTCATAATAATATATTATTTATATTTTCACATTTGCCTGATTGAGTTGTTCGAGAGGAGTTGGCGCGGCAATACCTGAACGTAGATCTTTCTTTTTGCATACAGTGATCGGTCTTTTTCATCTCTAGGTGAAACTACATTGGTTTCGTGCTAGTCCCTTCATTCATTTTAAACTTCTTTTCTTGATCTTTTCATATTTTTCTAATGTCCTTAGAA